TTTAAACACTATAAAATTGAAGTTGAAAATCAACTTGAAAAATGAATAAAAACGATTCTTAGTGATATGGAGTGTATGTTGCACCATTTGAAAAGTTTTGTGCAGAACAAGGAATTGTTCACCAAACTACTGCTCCATATTCACTCAACATCTTTGTGCATTTGATATCACAACTTTTAGGTGTATAAGATGCTTATTTCTGCAACTAATTTGGGAGTTAATGTTAGCTTCGTACACAATGTCCCTTAATGCAACTTGAAGTTTAGCTGATGCAAACTGGAAATATGGAAAATAATGGTTCATTGTCTTTTTTTTATTATGTAGCTCCAGTGTTTTGGGTGGTAGTGGGAATTGCTAAACTAACAAAAGAAAGATCATTTACATAGCATTACTCTCATTTAATTACATCTTTTTGGTGTTTTTATATCGTGTTTTGAAAGCATTTACACTCTGGCTATCATTAATATATCATGATAAAATAAATCACTAGTTAAGTGATTTCATCTTTTTTGTGTTTGATATTATTGTGTAATTACAAAATCTATCTAGTAGTTAAACAAGTATAAGAAAGATGTTGAGGAGGTAAATAGGGGAATTGGAGGAAATGCTAGGGCTGAGTTCAATGGATCAGATTTGATTGGCAACACAAAGTTGATAAGAATGAGCTTCTTAGTAATACAATCCTTCAGAAGTTGAAATGGTTCAAGTTGCACTCAGGGAGTCCGAGGTTGATACTAGTGCATTTCAGTATGTGAAGAAGATAAAGTCATTAACTATAACATTAGCATCAGCAAATTGTGCCATTACTCACGGATCAAAAAAAAATTGTGCCATTACTCCGGGTTGTATACCATCAAAATTATAGAAAGAGAAATAGCATGAATTTGTACAAGTTCTTTCTCATAGGTTTTATTAATTAATGATGCTACAGAAGAGGTCCTAGAGGTTATTCGAAACAAAGTATAATTAGCTTATTGGTTCCAGCTTTAAAGAATACTGGATTAAAAAGGGAACGTTTGTTTATAAACCATGTAAATAAGCAACTATCAGTGCACTTAAATGGCAGAGGGATTATGTACTCAATTTGATTTATTTTTATATGAGGTTTTTGTTCAGTGTGATCACATAATGTTCGTAAGCGTATAGCCGAAGAGAGGACGCAAAAAGCCAAGCATCGACGTAAACAAGCAGTGGATGAGAGTACCATCGCCCTAATGAGGATTGCCAAGTCATCTACAAAAATTGCTCAAGCTATGGAAATGCAAGCTATGATAGGTACACAGAATCATGTGAACTGGCAATTGATTGTAGAGAAACTGGAGGCATTGAACCTAGACATGAATGACGTAATGGAAGTCATGAAAGCCTTTTGGTCTGACGATGGTTTGGCTAAGGTATTTATGAACCTGACGAACGAGAAATACATGCGTGCTTTGGTTTTTGAAAAGCTTGGTCGTGATCCGCCTCCACTACTGTAGATTGCACGTGTTACAGTGTGTGTGTGAATTATGTATTTGTAAAACTTAATCCACGTATGTGGTCTTTTGTAATTTCTATAACGTTCACACGTAGAAACTAGGGTGCAGTGTTTGTACATGGTGGATGGATGGTTTTTGGTAGTCTTTTAGGAGCTGTATGTATTTTTTGAAAAATGGTTCTTCTTGTTGATGGATTTTGTAGCCCAGATGATTTATGTGTAATGGGAATATATCATGTAACTTTGGGATGCCTATTCCCCCATGGGTATTACTTTGGGAAAAAATGTGGGTTGTTGTTTCTTTTGTAATCTACATGAACGTTCCAATATTAAAAAAATCAAGTCATGGTTGGAAAAGATGGTTTAGGGTGAAACATTATTTTTCTTATCTGAAAAAAACCCACTATTGAAAAAAATGCACATCCACCTTTGTGTCTAATCTGAAGAAGTTTACTCGGGTTTTAAACCATTTTTGAACATTATCTTTTGGTCATGGTTTGTTGGACATTATAAATGGCTATAAAACACCAATTGTTGGGAAAAAAATTCCATAATTTTCCATGGAAAACAAAGCCTATCAAATAGCTAAAGATGGAAAATATCATTATTTTTCATGGAAAATTCAGCCAATCAAACACAAAAAGATGGAAAATCTCAACATTTTTTAGGTGAAAAATTATACCAATCAAGCGCAACTAATTGACAATTCCCGAGAAAATATTTTTTAGGCAAATATTTTCCCTGAAATTCATTTTCTTTCCACCCATTTTCCACCATTGCAATCAAATGCACCCTAAATAAATTATGAATTCAAATGTAAAATTATTTTATTGAAAGAATACTTGATTAAAAATGAGTTCGAGAAAAAATAAATTTTAAAAAATGAGAACTAAATATGGCCAAAAGTTTTTATTAATTATTGCCAAACGAAAGCTTAACAAAAATGACTCGATTTTTAAAGGGAAATTTGCAACAGCAGTCCCAATCCTTTCGATTTTTAGCAGACTTTATCTTAACCTTTAGTTTGTGTCACCAGATGTCCCAAATCTTTCATTTTATTGTAGCGCCAAGACAAATGGATGGACCGTTAGTTGATTAGAAAAGTTGATTCTGACCAAATTTAAAAAGAGTAAAATGGTAACTTTGCTGTTTCAACATAAAATAATTAAGAAAATAAATAAAAAAAAAGGAAAAATAGAACAACACTTTTCCCCATCCCCAACCCCCCTCCGCCAACTTAAACCAAATCAACTACCCCTTTCCGTTGCCCCCTTCCCTACCAAAACATCAAAATATTTTGTATAATCCTTGCTGATTGGAAGTACGAAGAATCCAAGGAAGCATCAAAAGAACATGAAGCGTTCATTGACAAATTCGGCTGTCGAATCCTAAAAACCATAGCCTGCATTTTTTTTCCTTTAAAATTCATCATTGGAGAAGATTGTTCAGTTTTATTTGCTGTTGGAGACATTTTCTCTCGGACTCGTCACTATCTTAGACACTAAGTTTACCAGTACTAGATATGGCTAAATGCTAGTAGGGATTTAGTTTTCTTATCTTTTTGGTCTAAATCCCAACAAACCCGTCCAAATTCCAACAAACCACCAAGGTAGTGTATGAAGAATTGGAGATGCATTAAAGATTTTTTGATTTTGAAGTGAAACTAAGTGCGAAACTCGTGTGTGATTTAATTATTGAATATCCCAAATAATGGAAACCTAGCTGCAAAATTTCACTATGCATTTCTTTTATTTGTTTATTTTCACTGGTCATTTTATCTTTTGATGTTCTTAAAAATATAATCCTGCAAAAAGTTGTTCCACGGTGGAGAGAGTGGGTGGCGGCAACGTTTAAGGTCGTTGGAGACTGTGGCGATGGTGGTTGATTTGGTTTGGGCATGGTGTGGCGGGGCGGAGTGGACTGGAGGGAGAGGGGAATATGGAGGAAGATGATGAACAATTCTGTTTTGCTTTCCCATTCTTTTTTCAAAAAATCATTTTATGTTATAATAGCAAAATTTCCATTTTATCCCTTTTAAATTTGAGCACAATCATCTTCTTTAGTCAACTAACGATCAAATGGATCATCCACTTGTTGTAACAAAATGAAAGATTTGATACCTCTGTTGGTACAAACTAAATGTTAAGGTAAAGTCCGTTACAAATCAAAATATTTGGGACCGCTGCTGCAATTTTCCCATTTTTAAATTTTACCAAATCCCCGAAACTATTTTTCTTCCACGTGAATAGCACGTGTTTTAAATCATTTGCAATTTTTATAGACCCTTGTCAAACCCTTCCCCCATAGCGTTGCCGCCGCTGTGCTGAACCAGGATCCCTCTTCCCGACGCAGCTCTGCAAACCCCTATCCCAAGCTCCGCCACAATGGTCGCTGCGAAGAAAACTGTACGATTATCTCTATAACTCTCTTATTATCACGATGCATTTTTTTGTTGTATCAAAACTCCGAAAATTGATTCTGATTTTTTAATTTTATTTTGGTAATTTTACAGAAGAAGACTCATGAGAGCATTAATAACAGGCTGGCTCTCGTGATGAAGAGCGGCAAATACACCCTCGGATACAAGACCGTCCTCAAATCTCTCCGCAGCTCCAAAGGTTAACGACATTTCTTTTGTGCTGTAATGCTTTTTAGTATTTTATGATATGTATAACTTTAATTGGGGGAATTATGACAGGAAAACTGATACTCATTTCAAACAATTGTCCGCCGCTGAGGAAATCTGAGATTGAGTACTACGCTATGCTGGCAAAAGTTGGGGTTCACCACTACAATGGAAGTAAGTTGTCTGATCTTAACTCGCTATCAGTAATTATACGGTTTTCGTGTGTGAATTAAACCTTTTTGGGATTTTGATTTGGGTTAAATTTTCTGTTTATATTTTGTTTTGAAATCCAACACGTGCTAGTTGTGGACAAAGTGAAATTTTGTCTTTTGAGTTGATTTGATTTAACATTTGGTATTTATTTTAGCATATCGTGCATTTTTCTGTAGTTTTTGAAGGGTATGTAGTTGGCAGAAGATGACACTGTGACCTAACACTTGCATTGTGGCAATGCAACGCACTGACAAAAGCAACATAATTCTTTCTAATTATCATTTATTTCATTACCACCAGTAATATAAGAGAAAACTTGGCCAATATCAAGGACAAGATAATATGTTTTAAGTATCCTTTTATTGGTTTTACATATGGTGGTTATGTGGGTATTATTGTAGTTTTCCCCTTGTGATCGGGTATTGATGTCTGAGTGAACTACTAGCCATGTGCTTATGATGTGTCTAGTATTTTTATGCTTTGCACTAGAGCTTGAGATCCTCACTTTAAGTCTGTATCTGTTGTTGCCCGTGCGTGCATATATGTATGGATGTCAACATAAATACATACATGGGTACAGTTCATAGTCAATTCGAGTATAGGTGGTAAACATTAAAGGGCTGTAAGGAATAGTTTTCTTGACTATTCTAGCATAAACCTTTTGTACTGGACCTGGCTCTGTGTTGGTTCTATATTTTTATTTGACGAAGTAAGTTCATTTGCTATTGGGACGTGCTTGTAGATACTGAGATTCACCCCATGAGATCTGATGTTGCGGAGAATATATACTTTGATTTTTGAAACTTACTTGAGCATGTACTTGTCAATCCGTCCTCCTCCCATATATCTTCTCGCTACATCTCCTTCCTTTCTCCTCCACTAGAAGGATTCTATGAGCAATTTCATGTGAGGGGAAAAAATTGTATTCTTGTTTACCTTCCCTTGGACATTTGTGCACTTGATTTATTCATGGATATTGTTAGAATTCATAAAATTTCCATTAACTGTCATGTTATCGGATTTCTAATATTACTCCCAGATAATGTTGACTTGGGAACTGCATGTGGCAAGTACTTCCGAGTTTCCTGTCTTAGCATTGTCGATCCTGGTATGTGATAAATTCATCGTTCTTCTGTTGTGCTCCAATACTATAGAAGTTGGATGACACCCTGACAACATAATTGCTTCTTTGCTATGTAGGTGACTCAGACATCATCAAATCGTTGCCTGGTGATCACTAAAAAGAGGGTTTTTCAATCTTGTATCTGCCTCTTCTAAGATTTTCTTGAAATTTTTCTGCTTCCAGAAGTGGACTTCATCATATTCTTGAAAATTTTGATCTTAGTATCTATTTGTGATGTTTCTCTTATTGCCAAACCCAGTTTGTGTTCCTAACTTGGTGGGTGCTTGACGGTTTTACATTTCATAATGCTGTTGGACATGATTGGTAAAATTGTTTCTTTTTCTCGCCGCAGTATGGTTCTACAGTAGTTTTTCCATTTCCTTTATAATAATGAGGTTGTTGAGAAATTAGAAAATGTGATTATTTTAAGGCACATTGGTGTTGAAATCGCGACCTAAATTTCTAGAAATAGATGAGCAATAAAGTAATGTTCTTTATTATTCTAAAAGAAAATGAAACAAGAAAAATATAGTTTGGACACTTTAGTGCTTGTTTGGATTTCTTTGTATATACATTATATAATTTAAAAGTCACAATCAAACTTTAATTTTGGCAATATATTATGTAGACTTCAAAGCTATTATGCACATATTTGTAACTTGTTTTTATTACATTATAATTTCAGCTATTCATATGGTTAATCGGTCACTATTTATTAATTGAACTTAAAAATGTATTTTAATGGTCTCTAAATTCCATCAAATGTTACTATTTCATAATTGAATTAAAAAATGTAACACAATGATTATTGAACTATGTACAGTGTTGTCCATTCATCAAAAATTTGTTAGGTTTAACAAACGGTGTTTATTTGAGTGATGAATGAATAAAAAACATAGTGCATGGTTTAGTGATAATTGAGATACATTTTTATTTCGATTATTAAATAGTAGCACTTGCAAAGTTTAGGGACCTTTGAGATTCATTTTCAAGTTTATTTATTAAGTAGTAACACTTGACATAGTTCGGTAATCATTGAGAATATTTTTAAATTCGATTACTAAGTCCCTCAAATCGACCTCTATGAAAGAAGAAAATGAAAGGGGAAAAAAGGAAATAGAATTCAGATACCTATAAGTCGAATAAAAATAGAACTTTTGTTGATATTCATTCTAAAATAAATTGTTGACATTAGTCTTCAACTGAAAGTTTTTTGTTGCCCAGATGGAAGATGTACGGTGTAAATTGGCTCTGAATGATTTGCGGAGTCATTAAATCCTCAACTACCATATCTTCTTCATTAACAACGGTCCAAAAGTAAGTTTGATTGTTGGATCAACTGGTATCAGTTCACCGTATTTCAAACTTTACATAAAAAAAAATTGAAAGGGAGAGTGGGAACATCGAAAGAAATTGATAGAGAAAAAGTACAAAAATGTTCGAATTAGTGCTAAAGTAATTGAGATTGATTTTATTTTTCATCCTTTTCCCCTTCATTTTCTTTAGTTTCTTCTTTCACATGGGTCGATTAGAGGGAAAAATAAATTTTTACCCGTTAATAACTGAAATTAAAATGTATTTCATTGGCACTGAACTTTATCAAGTGTTGCTACTTCATAATTGAACTTAAAATTATATCGCATTGGTCACTGAACTATACATCTTCTTGCCCATTCATCACGTAAGTTGACACCGTTTGTTAAATCTAAGCATTTGCCCATTTGAGTGATTGATGAGTAACACGCAGTTCAGTGATCATTGTGATACATGTTTAAGTTCAGTTAAGTAGTAAAACTTGACAAAGTTCAGTAAAATTCAAGTAATGAACCCGTGATTCATAATAGAATCCAAACAAGCATGTTTACAATGCTAAATATGTTGAACATTGTAGTGTTTTTTCTCGTTCCTTCTTGATAAGAGCTCAAAAGTGATAGATTATAAGCATGTTTGCGAGTTGTTTAAGCATGCTCAACAACGCTTATAAATATTTTAAATTATAAATAAATGAAAACAAGTGATATATAAGTACGTAGTGCTCGTGGAATTTACAAAATATGTGGATAAGAAATAGTTTGATAAATAATAAGCAATAGCCAAACAAGGATGCATTGACTTAGATTCATACGAATACTATGTTAGAGCTTGTTTGGGAGGGATTAAAATCAGATTAAAATTGAAAATATAGCCGTTGGAGTTGACTTTTATTAGACGGATGAGACCCAATAACGACTATATTTTCAATTTTAATTGGATTTTAATCCGTGTCAAACAAGCTCATACATTTACCTAAGTCCTAAACTGCGCTTGGAGTTGCCGACAGGAAGAGGTAAGATGCACTATNAATTGAATATATAGCCGTTGGAGTTGACTTTTATTAGACGGATGAGACCCAATAACGACTATATTTTCAATTTTAATTGGATTTTAATTCGTGTCAAACAAGCTCTTATTGTCCTTTTTTAGTTCCTTCTTCCTTCATAATTGCTCTGATAAGAGAAATACTAAACGTATTATAATGTTGTTTATAAATGATTTAAAATATAAATAGATAAAAATAAATGATAGATAAGTATGTAGCCAAACAAGGATATATTGACATATATGAAGATTGTAATATCGCCCTTTTTCTAGTTCCTTCCTTAATAAGAGGTCAAATAAGCGAGTCATTGTAAGCATGTTCGGTAGTTGTTTATAAATTGTTTGAATTATGAATAGATAAAAATGAATGGTAAATAAATGAATAGTCATTGTAAGCCTCACGAAATGTAGATAAAAAATGATTTGATCGATTATAAACAATAGCCAAATAAGGGCCGTTGTGAGAACGGGGTCATGCTTTATAATAGAATCAGGATTAAATATATTGGCACGACATTATTTTACAAGTACATTACATTTTAATTGCATCAAAGGTCCATGATCTTATACATTATCACATTTACATTCGTAACTTTTTTACATCCCTTCAACCTTCCTTAAATTAACAAATGATGGTTTCCGTCTAACGTTAAGAGATAATAAAAAGTTTATCTTCCTCTAGTGTTTTAAATAAGTAAAAAACAAAAATTAATTGCAAATAAAGATTTGTCCTTTCATTTTATAGCACATTAATATAATATTAGGATGGAAACTGTAGGACATGGTGTGTTAATTAGTGGAAGTTTAAAAATTAAAATGCGATTAAAAAAGTTAAGGACATAAATGTGACGACGAATAAAGATGAAAACCTTAAATGCAATGAAAAAGGATAATCCATTTATTAGAAAATGTGGTTTTAATATAACTACCCCAGAATTAAATTAACTATCTTACATATATTTAATTAAATAAAACGAACTATCAATAACCTTAAAAATAATTAAAATAATATTAAAAATAAAGAAAGCATAATCATGGCTAGGCTCGTAAGGGTTGAAGTTTGACATTACCATCTTGTCATGCTTTACGCATTTTAAATTTTTAGCTAGAAAAATAAAACAAATTTCTTTTTGTGACTTTCTCATGCATTTCAATCCAAGCACGACTATTTGTTAACTTCATAAATTGATGTTATAATCAATCATTTATGTACCAAAATTGATGTTATAATCAATCATTTAAGGCTTGTTTGGGAGAGAGTTTTTTTTTTTTAAAATCATTTTATCGCAAAATCATTTTCAACTACGTATTTTATGAGACATATAATTTTTTTCCTACTTTAATTGCACGTTCTTAAAAAAAATTCACTTGAAAAAACCTCTTTACTAAATACATAAATAATTAAATTTAATGTGAGTAATTAATCTCATAAAATGTGTGAATTATATTTGTGTAGGAGTTGTGAATGTGTAAATTAAAGGTAAATTATAAGTTATGTTACGACTCATAAATAGAAGCACCACTTGACACCATATTTGGACGGTGGGACTAACCCAATTGAACTAGGATGTATATTTCGAGGCCTAACCATTTTGAGGCCCTTTATTCCCAGGCCCTTATTCCGATGCCATGTTGTCACCATTCGAGGCCCTTTATTCACAGGCCTTATTCTGAGGCCATCATTGTTAGCCGATGCCCCATTATCCGAGGTCATCATTGTTAACCGAGGCCCCTTA